TTAGAGAATTGTATTTTTTTTCACTTCAATCCATTAAATGGTGTTTATTATTATTTGAGGTGCCTATTTGCACAATATAAAAGTAAATTGATGATGATCAATAATCATGTGCATGGAGGAAATCTATGTTCCTTCCTTTGAAGAATATTTGAAAGGGTTAAATGATTAAAGTTTTGATGAGCGTATATTATTGCAATGAAAATCATGATATTGCATAAAAAATCTCAAAGACCTACACGGTTTTGTTACATATGGGAAAAATCTAAAGTGTTAGAATTTTGGGAAAGAAAGTATGTGAACTTCTATGGCCATTTCTTCACAAGAATTAATTGTGATGATTATAGTTGCATAAGAGAGTGTGACAAACTGTGGTTTTATCCTAATTATTTTGAAAGTGGAAATTGCTTGCCTAATTATTAGGATATGGAAATATTTTATGAAAGACAAATGATGTTTAAAGTTGATGATGTTGCCGAATATCTTTGAAAACTAATCTTATGCAGAATTATAGTTTCATATGACAAAAAGTGATCGTCTCCAAATAAAAATAAGGTAAACATGTACCTTATTATTTGATGATATGGTGCTATCTTGTGAAAGTAATAAATTGAATTTGATTGGAGAAGTCGTAATTTTTGTAAATCAAGATGGTTGATCTTCTTCATTAATTGAATTTGAATTCAATTGTACAACCAACAAGTTGGTTTATGCTTGAAAAAACATTATCGGTTTATGAGATGACCTTGATCAAATTATGTGATAAAAAATTTAAAGATAGTAGGTTTGAAGTACATTGTGACTTAATGATCACTATCAGAAAATACCAAAACGTTCACGAGTATTATTAAAGTGATAAGTGAATGAACTATGAAAGAGTGAATGAACTCTAAGTTCAATTATAATCCCAAATGTGGGGGTTAACATATTGATGAACTCTAAGTTCGAGTATAACCCTAAATGTGGGGTTTATTAATAACGCTTGTGAATTTATAAGGGAAATTCAAGATGCAATATTCCAAATTGTATATGAATTCCTAATTGAGGAATTGTGGGGGTAACTTAGTTTAAAAGTTACTTATACTAGAAAAATATCTATGAATGAGAAAATGTAGAAAATCCCTTACAAAGATAAAATACACTAAGTGGATGAAATGGGTGAAAGCAAGTTATGGCGCTTGGAAAACCAATGAGAATATTTAAATAATATTTATAAATTAAAGATCATTGTAATGACTCAATGATGATTAGTGAATAACCAAATATGAAATCCACAAATTAAAGTGATTGACTTCTAACCATGTTTGAATATCAATAAAGCTAGTAAGTAAGAAAAGATTTTTTGGTGGTGACGAGTCGTATCTATCAAATGAATCGGTCGTTGGCTAGTTATATTTGAAAAGATACTAAGTTACGTGTAATGGAAAGTCTATATATACAATACTTAGGTGCGACTTCACAAGGAATTTATCAAAGGTGAGATAATTTCTGTAGAAAATTTAGCAGATCCTTTAGCTAGACCACTAAAAGGAAGTTTAGAGGTGTCTACTTCGAGTATGATGGGGTTGAAACTCCTAAACTAAACAGGTCCACCAGTGATGGCAAACCTACCTGTTATCATTCAAAAGGTAATCCACGGGTTCAAAGTGTAACAACAAGTCAATCGATATATGGATAGTTACAGCATTATATAAATTTGCGATAACTCTATCTATCTAATTAAAATAATGTTGGTTGTTATAGAAATAAAGGTTAAGCTTAAAGTTCTTAATGAAGTCCAGTGCTAAAATACAAATATTTTGTGTCTCTAAAAGTAATAAAGGTACTGGAAGAACTTCACCTAGACGAAATTCAAGATGGTGGCGCCTTAATAGAGAGTTGGAGTTTTTCTCTTAAAAGTTGGTTGAAATGGCCATTATAGCATTAAGAACATGCAATACTAATGTATGTGTCCTTGTCGGTATTGTCATATGAAATAATTGGTTTAAAGTTTCACGCTACCTTTGATTTCGAATTTACTTTGTTTGGATTACATTATGGTTAAATTTAAATCGAAAGATATCTAATTCTTATGCATGAGTATTGTATAACTTGAATGTGAGATTTTATTGAATTTTGAACAAATAGGGGATTGATGAAAAAATGTTGTTCAAAATCAATAATTGACATATGGAATGAAAACGGAATTGAAAAGCCAAATTATTGACCCATGCGACTACGTGGCCATAACAAGGGCCAAAGGCCCCCATTTTTCATGACCGATGTGACCGTATAGAAGAAACAATTAGCTGTTGAAGGCAATTATGGTTCAAATTTTGGCAGCTTTTCACTTCCTTTTGGCACCATTTTGTATAGCAATGCTTCATGGCTATTAATAGGTGTTTGATGATCATCACAAATACATTGAAAATCATAGTGCAACATATGAATTGTATCAAATACATTCCACAAGAAAGAAAATTCCTTTCTTCCATATTCATACATTCCCTATGTGTTCTTCAAGTTCAAGTAGAAAAATATTTGTGCTTTTATGTTTTTTCTACAACAAGACTTGATCAATCCTACGAACCGTTTATCGCGAGACCCTTTAAGCATCGAAATCATATCCAAGAGGGGGCAAAAATCATTTAAGGACAGCGAGATTAATTTCGTGTTTGAGCCTTTATATGTTGTTTTGATCTCTACTCATTTCATCTTCTTGATATCTCGTTTCTCGATTTTCTTCTCCAAACCCCGGTGGTGAAAATTTTCCAACAGTTCTTTTGTGGACTGTCGACTTGTGTTCAACAAAATGCCTCAAAGAAACATTGTGTCATAAAATGCGCTCATTTCCATCTTTTCTCGTTGTCCTCGCCATGTACATTTGGCCTTTTGGGTGTTTTCAGAGTTGGGAAATGAGGGACTCGTGCCAGATGGATTGTCATTTACGAGCCTTTTGTAGGCATTCTCTAGCTTTGATAATAAGATAGTGGGCTCTTCGGTGCATGCCCTTTTTTGAAGTTTGGATTCTTGAATAATATTCGTGTTCAAACATCTCTGCTCGTGATGTATACGAATTTTGGGGATATGGATTGTGCTAAGTAGTGTGTTGCTTTTGGTGGTTAAAGACGCCATTGCTTGGAACGCCGTAATATCTGGGTGTTTGAAGAATGATGGGATAGTTGAAAGCCTTGAACTTTTTTGCAGAATGTTCAGGGATGAAATTAGTCCAACAAAATTTATGTATTCAATGCTTTTGCTGAAGGATGTTGTTTCTTAGGACTGACATGGTTGTTTGGCACCGTAGAATTGGTGATGGCGTAAAAATAGAAAACAACTCTGAAATGATTGTTCGTGGAAGCCTTGTCGAATGGAGAACTTCAAGCTGCTGAGTCCATATTTTGCCTTTTACGAAAGCGTGATTTGAAGTGCTAGAACTCCATGATGGGAGGATATGGTCACCATGGGAAGGCTGGGAGGCTTTTTGAGTTCATGACAAAATGTTGAGACAAGGCGTGAAACCAGATCAAGTAACGTTTATATCTCTACTTGCTGCTTGCAACCATTGTGACTTGGTGGTTTGAATCCCGAGCCTAAGCACTATTCTTGCATGGTAAGTATGTTAAGTTGAGCAGGATGATTAGAGGAGGCCGAGGAAATGATTACTGAATCACCATTCATAGATAATCATCTGGAATTGTGGAGCTCTCTCTTGAGCTCCTAGGTCACGAATGGAAATTTTAGAATTGGAATCAACGCTGCTGAGCAGATTTTAAGCACCGGTGCAGAAGATTGTGCAATAAAAATACATCTTATGAAACTATATGCAGCAGCAGGGAGATGGGACGACGTTGGGAATCCACAACCAAATATGTCTTTGTTCCAACCGTCGAGTAAGCCCTATACAAAAGATAGGCTGGTTCACTTGAAGAGATTCTTTTCTATGATCAGACCGAATAATGTTGTACATGAGCAAGCTCCATTAAAAATGAGGAAGAGAGTGAAACAATTAATGTTAGAGAAAGAACTAGGTTTAAGCAAGATAGAGGTCACAAAATTACAAATAGTTTCATGTATTTTCAGCCACACCCACAAAATGATGAAATGCACACTTTGTGTATAGTTATGAGTAACCTGATGCCTGAGAAAGCAGATGACATTTGAAATACATAGTATGCAACTGACTTAATCTTCAGTGGGGCGCACCACCCATCGAGGTGGCGCACCTTAGCGGTGCAACCGCCCCACTGAAGTTTCCCCCGTATGCAACTACATGTTTACATTTGTTTTAAGTATTTAAAACTATAGATATGGTGTTTTATTTCAAAGTAGCCACATTTTAAGATAAAATTGACCAAATGGCAGCTTCTATAAATACAATGCAAAATTTATCCTTTAAAAGAATATAGGCCACGGTTCATAAGTGCACAAAGTACATTTTTTGACCCAGATAACAAAAAGACTTTTCAAGTTGCTTGAGTGGTATGATATATCCTCACAAGTAGATGCACTAAAAATAAAACAAATAAAAAAAATTATGACAGATTTCAAAATGTATATCTTAGAAAAATATTAAAACTTACAATCCCGTTTCAGAAAATAAACAAAGGAAATTTTGAATTTAATCAAGTGGATATTGTTCATCAAATATGCTTATATTAACCAACGACGGAGTCAAGACTTGAATTTAGAAGGCATACTTTAAATACGAAAAAAAAAAATTACAAATTTAAATATTTAAAAAAAAAAATGTATTTGTTTTTTTTTTTTTTTTTTTTTTTTTTTTGAGATTTTTTTTTTTGTTAAAAATTTTTTTAAAAATATATCATGTTCTGGTCAAGATTAATTGCAACATGTCAAGATTTTGGGATATACCAATTTTCACTTTTTCCAGTGGAGCCGATTTTCAAGACTGAGATTTACGGACTATATTCAGGCATATCCACGAGACAAAAGCACTATAATTAATTTTCTTTCATAAATATTATTACTGGAAAAGTCCATCGGCAAAAGCTTGTTAGTGATTCAGAGGATGTTTGATTCTCATTTTTTCTAAAATACATTTTTCTTTCTTTTTTTAATCATTCGTTCTTCATTAAAATAATATTACACGTAAATAAAAAAAATTCTTTCTTTTTTAATAACACATTTTCCGTCAATCTACTATTTCAAAATACATTATTCAAAAATAATGTGGCTCAAATATCCCTTCAATATGGACAATTAGCCAAGCTATAGGCCTTGATCAGGATCTGTTTCACAAGCTTGTAGCTGCAATATCCTTCGATAATAGAGAATCCGAGCAAAAGGTTAGTTCTACAAAATTATTACTAAACATTCTAAGCTTTAAGGTAATATCGAGTAGGATTTACATTGGATACATGTAGAGGAAATAAAGGCGTGAACATAACAAAATAGAATGATTAAATTAAGAGAGCGGCAGATTAGGTGGCTAAGAGTATTCCCTTAAAATTCTCTATTTTTAAAAAAACATATTTTTTCATTTGGAGAGCATCTGTAAATTTAAATAGTTAAATCTAACAAACTATTTATATTTAACACTTAATTTCACTATTCCCAAAAAATATTTTTTTATTTTTCTCTATCATTTATTTTAACTAGCTTTTCTTTAAATTATTTTATTAGTTACCTACATTGAAAATTAAAACAATTTAACTGCATTTTATAAAAAATAAATTCTCCAAATTAAAATATTTATTTAAAGAATCTTTTGGAGCATAATTTTAAAAATTGACTCTTTAAAATAAAGAGCATCTCATGTTTAAAGAGTTTCTTGAAGATGCTCTAAGAACATTTTTCATATAACATAAGAAGCAGCTAATCAAGAGAAAAGTGATATCATTATTATAGATTAGATGAGAGAAATATATCAAAACTAACCAAAAGTGATTGCGAACAATCTCACTAAATCTAACGGAAAACAAAGTAAGGAACAAAAAATAATTCATATAATCAATCAAATTATTAAAGGAAAAGGCAAGGATAGTGATCTTTGAGTAAAATATCGCTTGGGAAAGTGTCACCATGCTGCAGATATCATGACAACAGAATGATTTTCAAAATGCTAAAAATCCATAAGAAAAATATAAATAGAAATGTCAAAAGCAAACTGAATGAGATGAGAAATTGCCAAAACATTTGACCTTTCACCCAATCCAATATAAAAGACTAGTCAATCAAATAATAGATAGTAAATAGATCAATTTGAAAATAGATGAATTGTTAGTCATAGAATATTATTCTTATTAGATTTAAACCTAAATGAAGTGTGCAACTCTCCTAGGGTCCCTCATCTAAGATCCCTGGGGAAAAGAATCATGTTACATCTTCACAGATTAAGAACTACGAAATCATTCCTTTCATTCTAGAGTGATAGAGGGACCTTACCATTCAAGCCTTTTTTTTTTTTTTCCATGCTTTCCCAGAGAACTATGTTGGTTGTAAGAAATGTGAATCCACCTTTCCAACAGATTTCTTGAGTGTTCAAATTTATTTATGGCATGAAACAACTTGCAATATGAGTCTAGCTTATTGATACATTCCAGATTTACATTTCCAGCAACTGAGAGCTCATAAGAAATTGGACGAGTACAGAAGTTTTCTAGTTACTCTGGCTGCAAAAATTACAAAGATCCAACTTCACATTGTTACAATGGCATTGCTTTCAAGCAGCAAATTGGTAGCACTAAGAATCAAAACTGAAATTTGACTTTAGTCAGGTAATTTACAACTCAATGAAAATATCGGTAGCCCAGAAACTACAGGAGCACGTGATATCCTAGGGCCATAAGAATCCATTGCAATATCTGGTTCTCATTAGAAGTTGAAAGCAAATCAAACAAAATTTTGCCACCATTTTGATGAACTGATAAGAAGCTGACTACCGACGGCCAGTGCGACTTTTAGCTCTTGCCTTCTGCACGACAAAGGAGACGTAACAGGTTACTTCAAAAGCCTAGTGTATGCTGAACATGGACAAACCCAATGAGAATTAATAACACGTTTCATCCAGATGATGATGATTATGCTAGAACCTTCATTGCTAACCAACATTCACAGTTCTCCCAGGCTAACACGCAAAAAAGCACAAAAAAAGGTGCCAAAAAGAAAAGCAAGGTGTATATCTTCATGGGCCAGTAGACAGATGCATATATGTCCAAAGGATTCATAATCAAAATCTCTAAAATTACTACACTTGGAGTCCAAAGGATTCAGAATCTTTAACTTCAGATTGTTTAACATTGTATTAAAGCAAGTTAAAGTTCTGAATTCAAGTCTCACAGCCATCCATTAATGAAACTTATGCACTTTTTATGCCTTCGATGAAAATAGTGAGTCTAGCGAGCGCGTGGGGGCTTGTTGAAGGCAAATTTAAATAAATTCATATCCTATCAGGAACAACTTAAGCTTTTAATTTCTGTCATTTAACACTAAGGTGCTTGACCAGTTTTCCAGGAAAATGAAGATATCTGGGACAAGATTTATACAGTTTTATGCTGCAAACAATGTGAAAAAAATAATCTCTCTGTCCATGTTTAATTACTAAGACAAACTCCAAATACATAAAATATCATATAAAACCACTGGCATTTCTCCCAATGCAGAACCCCAACAAAAAAACACAGATCACAACTAAAACAACTCCTTGCAAGCCCAACACAACAAACTCAACCACTTACAGCAGGAGCGATCAAGCTCAACAGCAACTACTGTCCATACAAAACATAAATCCTGAAAGACAATTTTCTGAAAATGACCATGTAGGAGAAAGAATGTGAAATACGGCCACATTGTAAAGTCTCTTTTACAATGACCAGAATTTTAGAGTATTAATAAAATAATCTTATCTATACTCCTATTTCATTCATTATCGTGCCTAAAAAATCAGAAAGTTAAATGCCATTTCTTCAGTAAACGAAAACTAGGCAAAATCTGGACTTTCATTTATCTTGGGTTCTTTCAACCTTCTCGGAGATCCTTATTCCATTACTACAATATAGTTGTTACACTATCAGTTCACGTGATTTTTTTTAATAATGCCCACCCAACTTTTTGATAGATCTTGAGGGAAAACCCTTTAAAACAATAACCTAGCAATAGTAATATAACTGTAGCATTTTTTCAATATCAGAAACATGTATCTGCGCAGGTAAGTGAAAAAGTTAACCAAAGGTTAAGCTGGTCAAAACTTCTTATACTCAAGTGACTATTTTTAACTTTGACCGTGAAAAAAGGGCTATGTTGAACCACTTCGTATCCTGCAGTCATTGCTACTGGCAGCATAGAGTACGTCTTTCTTTTATTTATCAAACATCTAGAAATCCCACCAGACTTGTGTCACCAACATTTCTCAGTCTTAACAATCATTGACTTCAATATTCATTATGATTGTGAATTGCTGACCTTCAACAATCATAGGTATCACTTTTGGAATTCTTCCATTATGCTCCCGTGTACATTAAAATATGCCAACCTCAATGATAAAATCTCCACACATGACCTTTCTGAAGCAATATGTCAAAATATGACATCCAAGTTCAATCGAACCAGCAAATGACTCATCACTTATCATGATATGATATCGGAAAAGAGGCCTAGATAAAAATGGAAAAAATCTTAGGGAATTAATGTTCTAATCTGTGTGATTCTATCTAAAAAATTCATTTCCATTTGCCTTTTTCTCTGTAACAATCAATTTTCAGCAGACAGCTCCAGTAAGTCAACGTACATTATAATGTCAGATAGTTAAAACAATAACAATTTTTCTCACATGCAAAGCATATTCTTCTTTTGAGAGGACAGATATCCAGGGAGTGAGTAAGACATAAGGAAGCAAAGGGAAAGATACGAAAAGCCTGCCCAGAGATAACTAAAATAAGAAATTAAATTACTCACTGAAATAGTCCCAAAGCTCGCTCCTGAGCCTGTTGCAGCTCCTATTGACAATGCAAAGGAATCCAGTAAAGAAAAGTTCAAAAAGAATGATATTCAAATAGGGGAAAAGAAACATTATGGTTAAATATAAGTATTACAGGAGTAAAACGCCTGGAATATAATTTGAATTACTGACAATTTTTTGTCTCATATATTACTTCATTTGGCAATAGTATGCAGTTGATAGAAAAGTTTGCTCTCCAAATTGTCGTGATAATTAGTCAAAGTACAAATGATGTTGACCAAGAACTAGTTGATAACAATATTCATGTCAAGTAGCAAGATACAAATCATAGAAGCATATCATAAACCAATACAGATAGGTTGAAAAGCAGGACGAGAAGGGTAGATTAGTTACGATTAACAACACAAAGAAAATGGCAACCAGTGGAAGGAAACTATGTTACGAAAGCATTGAACATCACATAACCTCATTTAAACCCATATGTGATAACCAATCTGAACTTGATGAAGAGGAGCTCCTGTTGTTTCACAGGTAATAATTTCTCAATAGGAAAGTAGAGAACTAAAATTCAGCCCATTCCACCAAATTTCAACAAGAAAAATAATTATGCTCTGGGGTAAAACAATGAAATCAAATTCTTACGCTAAATAATAAAATGATATAAATTAACCAATTTCCATTTTCTCCTGCCAGTCATCTAGATAGACTGGTTGAAAATGCTGAAGTTGATTGTTTAATTTGATATTCAAAAGTTACCTGTAGCAAAAGGAGTTGAAGAGGTTGAGGGTCCAGAAGGAGTTGAGCTAAATAATGGAGCTGAAGTGCCAAAAGCTGAGGTGGAAACAGACAATGAACCAAGAGGTGAAGTCTGAGGGGTTACACCAGAAGATGCAAACAAAGAGGAGACAGGAGCAGATGTGGTAGGAGTGGAAAACAGAGAAAGTGATGTGACAGCAGATGGTGTAGCAAAGAGTGAGGTTCCACTTCCAGATGAAGCTGATATGGGTGTAGTTGATGTCCCAGTTGCAGCGGAGCTGGTAAGCAGCCCAGCCACTTGAGTTGATGGTTGGCAAACTGCCGGCAAATGTAGAGTTGGGTGCACTCTTCGAGCAGCAGCCTCTTGTTTGGCTGTTTCCCGCCGATCAGCCTCAAGAAATGGATCGTTCCCATCCCCACGACAGCGTTGGTCAGCAAGGTACGTAGTTTTCATGGATTCAATGTGCTGATGGATGCTCTCCACCTACAGCATTAATTATGACAAGCATCGAATCAACATCACCATAGGAAAAGTTATAAGAACGGCATACCCGTATCAATAAAGCAAGATTGTTAAACAAACGGTTGGAAAAGTCAAAATATCATTATATGCAATGTGGCATCCTTGCATTCTGAAATGAACTAAGTGATATATAGCATCCTTGCATTCTGAAAATGTGAGGAAAACAATAATAACAGCATGGGAAGGGCAAAAGTTCCAACACAAGGATATTTTCCAATTTCCAATAAAAGCATTTTTTAAGATAATCACAAACCGTGAGTGTTTTCTATTATGACCCAATTTTTTCAAGTAATTCAATCAATATCTGAAATTAAAATTTCAATTTAGCACGTCCTGAATGAGCCTCAAAAACACACACGATCTTACGTGGAAAAATGATGACGTGGACCATGATATGTAAAATATTCAAAAAATAAATATGACCATATTTGGTGGGCTTATTTCCTAAAGGTAAGCACCAAAAAGCTGGCTTACTTTTTAGGAATAAGCCCACCCAAAAGAGTGTTTAGAAAATAGAGGAAAATTTGAACAAGACCTTCTTCCCCATCAAACATTTACGCCCGTCAGCCAGCATTCACGTTTTCCACATATGGCCTGTCCCTTAACACTGACACCAGGATAGCACGGGTGTTGGTGATGCAAATTGTGTTTGATCAGAACCCGGTATTCTGGGAATTGAAGTTCGTTACCAGGAGACTATATTGCAAAACATCAATTGCAGTGAACAAACCTAGTAGTTGTGATGATAGCTGGAGCTCAGGCATGTGATATTGCACTCAAGCTGAAGAATTCTTCCAGAGCATATGGTCAGTAGGGTAACATTTACTTGGTAGAAATTAAAAATTACAGCCTGCGGTGGCAGCTGGGAATGTGGAAATGCTGGAACAATTATCGTGGGTGTGGTGCATAGGGCAGCTTTATCTGCATCTGCAGTGATTAGATTCTGAATATTTGGAGTCTGAACATGGTATTTTTCTCTCTTTTAACACCGAGTTGAATGTGGGATAAAAAGGTGGTTTCCAGAGCATATGGTCAGTAGGGTAACATTTACTTGGTAGAAATTAAAAATTACAGCCTGCGGTGGCAGCTGGGAATGTGGAAATGCTGGAACAATTATCGTGGGTGTGGTGCATAGGGCAGCTTTATCTGCATCTGCAGTGATTAGATTCTGAATATTTGGAGTCTGAACATGGTATTTTTCTCTCTTTTAACACCGAGTTGAATGTGGGATAAAAAGGTGGTCATTACTCCACTGCGGTGATTCATCAAGAGAATCATATTTGTCTCCTCAACATGGAACTGAAATGAGAGCCATAAAGGAGGCTATTGTTCCACTGGGACAATTTCGGTCATAAGACAAACTTGCTATTTGCCAATAGTCTAGATGGTAGCTAACTTTTTTATTGCATTTCTGTTTTTCTTTTTGTTATCATTTTGAAGTTGTAGCGTAGTCTATCTTTCTGCCCAGAATTAATTCCCAATGAAACCTGTTAGGACTTAGGACTGATGGCAGCAGATACATCCCAATTTTCAGCAACAGCGTTTCAGTGTAAATTTAAAGCTAAACTTAGATCTCTTAGAGTAATTGTACCTATAAAAAAGATAGTTGTACACATTTATGATTACAGCCTGGAAGACCAGTAAAATACCAAAAGCTTAGGCAGCTCTCTGGGATCCTAACGACAATGAGGTGCAAAAGCATGGGGAACAGGAATGGATACCTTGGTAGTTCATGGCATAGACAATGAGTATTCACCCTTGGTCTATGCGGATCAGGACCTGCATTAGTAAAGTTTCCTAAAAGGATGAGCTTAATCAAAGTTTTTATTCTATTGATTGCATTGTTGACTTCTGTAGAGATCTGGAATTTTTCTGTGACATGTAAAACAGTAGTAGTTCTGTGGGAGAGTCACTGCAACCTATGAGTTTCCACTTTAGCTTTCTTCTGTAGGTTTATTGCACATTTGTGCCTTTTTCATGAAGCAGACAGCAAAAAATACCCAGGTTTTTTCATCTGAGATAAAATGTTGGCTGAGGGACTGAGAATTAGGTGTGGAATTGAAGAGGTTATTTTATTTCCTTTCTTTTCAGGGGGTAAAAAATATTGGTATTCTAAACTTTTCATTACCCATCATTTTATTCCATGTAGGAGTTCAAGCATATTTTCCTTCTGGCAATAAAACAGAGCATAGCCCGTGGTTCACTAAAATTGAAATGATAAACTACCACAATGTTCAACTGAAAAACTGAAAGGTCGCATCATTATTGAAATGACAAAGTTCGTGATTTTTTCCAAACTATTCCCTTAAATCGAACCAATTAGATTTAAAACAAATGCACAAAGCATGGGATTACTGACAGTTGTAAAACCACGGCATGTTAGTTCGTCAATTACAATTTACAACCTAGGGAGGGAAAGATTACCTTTGCTGCAACATGAACAAAAAAGTCATGTACATTTTTCATTACTTTGGGTAGAGACTGCAACAAGGATGAACTTGAATTGAAAGAGTTCTTGTCAGAATCTAAGATAATCAACTGTTCTAAGTCTTCAATCCACTGGCGACAATCAGAGAGAAACTTCTCAAATCTGGCAATAGTCTGTTGCAAAAATGGTGATGGTTTCTTCGGGATACCACTATAAAAATCAAACACTGGCATCATAGAATTAGTTGGGGGTGGATTACTGGATGTCAGACCTACTGTTGCTCCTGATGTCTGGGATGGTGTGGTAGCACTTGCTGCAGCAGCTTTGTTTTGCTGAAGAAACCTTGGTCGCAACATCATGTATGAACGAACAGCAACCTCGGCATTTTTTAACATATCTTTGACAACAGTCATTAGCTCTTGCAATATTGCTTTCTGTCTTTCCATTGACATATTGATTCCACCAAGGTCCTGAAAAGTAAGATATGTAACTTTAAGAAATTGCAATATACAAACAGTAGCATGAGAACGAAGATAACTGTGAATTATTTTCTCAATCAAATTAGTATTTCCAAAATCTTTAAGCACAGACTTAATAATGTAGCAGCAGACTAACCAACAAAGCAGGAAATATTCGATGCCATGAATTAGCACGAAAACAAAGAATGTATGGATTTTTTTTTTTTTCTCAATCAAATTAATATGTCCACAATCTTCAATACGAAAAATCGAATGCTTTGGCCATTGACAATTTTTAACCACAAACCTAATAATCTATTAGCAAAAAGATTAACCAACCAAAAAAATACTTGAAGCCATGTACATTAACCAGCTAAGTACATGACTGGGCAGAACAACAACGAGAAATATTCTAAGATGAGGCCTGTAACTAATGACAGAAATTTCAAACAGTTATTCAAAACATTAGCAAGGACACTAATTGAGAACTCAGTGTAACTGCTTCACATTGTCAAATTCGTTTCGTTATATCTCAGTTGGAGGTATAAAGCATATTCTCCAACCCATTAGCCTTCGAATATTTGTCAGAATTCATGTTAAAATTAAACTGAAGCAAAAAATAAAATAAAAATACACACATGAAAGAGCTTCTTGAAAATTTTAAAAAGAAGGCATAAATATATACACCTGAACAATCTGGCTGGCATCAAGCTCAAATCCTTGGCTAGAAACCGAAGAATCATAAAGACGACTGCACTGATCCAATCTCTGGCTCTCATCCCTGTACTCCAATATTTTCTCCCTGCATCCATAAAAGACCCATATTCCCAATCACTCAAAAAGTTTGGAAAAAAATGAAATGCAGAACGCATGCCCAAGAAAAACATAAAATGAAACCGAAATTTACTCAATTTGCAGGAGGAGTTTTCGCGAGTCAGGGTGGAGGTCATCCCATTTGGTGCTATAAGTAGCGGGACTTTTATCGCTAGTTAAAAGATAAAGCTGCTGAGGATGCTGCGTCTGTTGCTGTTGCAATTGTGGCTGCTGGGGTTGGAATTGAAATTGATGCGGCTGTTGAAATGGAGTGGTTTGGGAAAATGGCGAGGGTTGGAATGGGGATTGTTGTTGCGGTTGCGGTTGCGGAGTAAATGAGAAAGCCATTTGATTTATGGTTTACAAGAATTCATTAATTGGGAATGATTATGTTGAATTGAAGGGCATACCTTGGAAAGATTGAACTTTGAGAAAAGAAAAAAACCCCGTTCGTACTTCAAAACCCTAGACTGCCGGGAAGATGAAAGAAAAGGGCGCCATTTTGGTTTAAAATTTGGGAAATTGTAAGGCTATTTTTGTTTTCCATTCTTTCTCCATTAAATGAAAAATATGATCGTTATTCATCATATCAGGTCACAAAATTTAAATTTTTATCTTTTACATGAAGTTCATAACAACTATATTTTTCATTTTCATTCTTACAAAAATGAAAAACAAACGAGGCCTAAATATCAAAACAAAGGTACATTTTTCTTGATATTTCGGCCTAAGAAAAGGGAGTAATGTGGACCAAGGACAAAAGTTATATTGGAGTTTAGATCGACCCCCTCGCGATCTCCCGTTGCAATTTAGTGCATGCTTGGCCCTCTTTAAAATTTTAAATTATTTGTTATTGGGGGTGTTTGAGTCACATTATTTTGATAATAATATATTATTGAATAGTGTATTAATGGAAAATGTGTGGTTAAAAAATAAGAAAATTTTTTTGATTTGCGTGTAATATTATTTTATTGAAAAATGTGTGATTAAAATGATATCAAATCACTGTTTAAAAATGCATTTTTTTGAAATAATGTGGCTCAAACAGGCTCATAGTATCATTTTTCACCATACATTCACACAATTAAAGATTCTATACATAAATTAATAAAGTTTCTTTACTTTTTAATCACAAATTTTATAAAAAAAATATTATTTAAAGCTCTTTAATTTCTCAAATAATAGATGAGAAATGGGGTCTTAATTGATCATGAGTTATGATTACCTCGTTCCTTTGTTATTAGACGAGTCACTCGTCAACTCAGCTCACTCTTGAGGCGAGCAAGCCGAGCTGATTTTTCCTTGCAAGCCAGTCAACTACTTTTATAGCTTGGCTCCCTCACAAGGTGAAACAGTTGAGGCTATGTTTGAGGCCGGTTTGTCATGCAAATTATTTTATTGGAATAATATGTGGTTAAAAAATGAGTTTGAAAAAAAAAAATTGTTGAAAAATAGGAATCAAACAGAGACTAAATTTCAATGAAATTTTTAAAAAAAAAATGTGGTGGGAGTAGTGACTCATAAATCGAGTTACAAAATTTTGAAACGAGCTGACTCATGGTATGCTGAGCCCATTAACATCTCTATTGTGCTTTCTATGCGAAAATATCTTTATTTGATATTAGGCAAGATTTATCTGATTATTCACAATTGACTTCACATCACCGGTAGATTTATTAATGAAGTTAGTTGTCTTGATACTGAGATTAAGAGGTGACACTTTAATAACGTGTCATACGCTAGTGCTTCAAGTGTTGTGGAGAGTCAATTTTATATCCGAATCTAGGGCTAGCATTACTTTCTTGGTGAATATTAGGAAGTTTTTCTTTCAGTCCTTTAATTGCAAAAGAAGTAACGTGATTCTTCAAAGAACGTAATCACATAATGGCGATTAATTATGCCTATATTTGACCTCCGCTTCCTAAAATTCATTTTTTTCTGAAACTCATTTCCAATCATAAATTTTATAGGATTCACAATTTTTATCAACTTTTCAATTACATATTTCACCAACTTTTATCAAAATTTATTAAAAATTTAATTTTTTATGCAAACCAAACGTGGGCTAGATGTCAACTTTGCAGGATGTCTTCATGGTCTAAAGTATATTTACAACATGCTCAGAGTAAGCCCTTGTAACTTCCTTCACTCTTTCAAAAAGTTCATGAGCAGCTATGGATTGCATGTGATATGTGGTCAAAAAATTTTATCCATGGGCTGTTGATAATTTAACCTATCTGTTTGCCAATTAAGATTTATAATGATTGTAGTGAAGCAATTTTCTTCATCAAGTACAACTTTCGCTCCAGTGATTCTGAATAGATAAAGATCTAGTCCCTAATTGGTAGCAATTTTTCACATCAAAAAATCAATTTTTTGAACGTTATTTCACTATTTCAATCGTCATTTTTTACTTATTTACTCACAGGTGGGACCTACTTTTCTCTCTAACAGTCAAAAAAATAATTCTTAGAATCACTATCGAATAGACCCCTAGTATTTTATCATCTGAATAATGGACGAAAATGTGATATCCATGTAGATCTTAAATGTTTACAACCAAGAGGCTTAAACCTGTTGTTTCTTGAAAGGCATATAGATGTATGGGGTCTTGGATCTTCTGATGTGCTTGGTTAGTAAGAGCTTTATAAATTTATTGCATGTAGTTGTAGTGCTGACAAAAGTGCTATTTATGGATTCGAGTTATCATTGCAATACTGTTGTTCTCAAAAATCTATCGCGTGTTAATTTGTCATTTGCGACTTTATTAACTTCTCCGATTCATCTTAGCTTGCTCAATTGATTACTTTCTAGTTTTGATATAGAAAAATTTGAGCAGGTCGTATATAATATAGCAGCTTCTACTATCAATCACTTCATTTTTGTGAGTTTGTTGTATGTTTTTAGATGTTATATGCTCCATTTCTATGAGGAAATGTTTTGAGATGTTATGCTTGTTATTTTGCAAGGAAATGTATAGAGTTGATATGCTTTTGTTTTCGTTAGGAAATGTTGTTACCTTTAGAGGCATTCGGTTATAACTTCCATGTTGGGTAATGAAGGATCATTATAGACTTGCATTGGCATCACTGGGTAAGTTCTATTGTCTATGCCACACCTGTGCGTCATATTGATCATGTTAGTTTATTTGCCAAAGTTGCGACCATAGTACAAATTTAAGTGTATTACTATGCAATGACGGCCAGCAGATCTAGGCACAAGCTGGCTAGGACATCAGCATGTGCTCACCCTGGCCTAGATCCAAAAAGTTCTTTTTTTTTAGCTAGATTTTTTTAAGTTAAGCCCATGTCTTTTAACCAGTAGCCCGTGTCCACTGTTTAATCCAAACAATATACTCCAACTACTTAACCCAAATCAAAGTTAGAGCCATGCTTGGGCACCAGGTAGGGGGTTCTGTAGAACCCCTCCAGAAGACACACAAACAAGGGTGGGGTAGGGATTTTTGGGGTCATTTTTTAATGACGTGGGATTCAGCTCATGTGAAGGATTTGGAAAACTTCTGTTGAAATGATTCAATACATCCATCAAAACTCTCAAAGTTATGACCCAACTTGGCCAAACCCAAACCTAAACTATCAAATCTCCCTCCCAGTAAATCAATCATAATTCAATTCCCATTTCTTTATTTCTCTCTCCTTAGTGCTCACGCCATCATAGTGTCTCTAACTCTCCGGCACTTCAATTTTGCCTGCGCAGTAGAACTTATCCGTCTACGAATCGCCGTCGTGAAAATTTCTCTAACTAGGCTCTCTCAATCCCCCACTTCTGGAAAATTAAGGAACCCAAATCAAATATTGCATCTCGTAGAAGTGTAGGGCACTCGCATTACAACAGCTTCTGACATTGTTGTTTCTACTTGTTGAACGTCCAGAAGAAATTTTCTTTGTTTGAACATTTTTTAAGGTGCAACGCAGGCGTGTAGGAAAAGTTTGATCCCCTGATAAGTAAGTGCTCGTTTGGCCCCCATTAGATTAAATTTTATTTTTCTCACTCTAATTTTCAATTACAATCTTCTATAAAATAATATTACACGTAAACAAAAAAAAAATCTGTATTTTTCAACCACTCATTCATCAAGAAAAAAGTATTATTTCACCTATTTTAATTTGAAAAAATGGGGCCAAACGAGGGCTAAATGTCCTCGTCGCTTGTTGCTCTATCATCAAAATACAGAAATTGAATGTTGTTGCCTTGTAGACAAGTTAGTTAACTAGTTGTTGTTTACTTGTTGCCTTGTTATCTTAATTATTTGTTATTTACTTGTTATCTTTCCGATGAATTTTATGTTTAAATCCTCGTTGGGAACCATTTCAAAATAAAAGAATTTTACTTTGACGTTATATATGAATTTATTATATATACTTTTAAATTTTAGCTTGTGTGCTAAAATTTTTTGGATCCGTCCCTGATGATGGCCGTAAATTAGTTGGACACGTCATATTTGAAGATGATTTTCGATTATCCCATATTTTTCAAAGTTGTCAAAAAATATTTTTAAATTCGTATTAACCATGAGCTCGGCTTCTAGAACTTTACTTGGTGTAAAGGAGCGCCATTAAGTCGAAATTTATCAAATTTTGGCATAATCCACATTGAAGTCCTCTTTAGCCCCAGTCTCATCTGTATACAACAGCTGAGTCTTATCATACATATTTTTATCGTTCCGCTTCCAAATTCGAATGTCCATGTGCGTATCCTAGGATCCCTAATTGTCGTGTGGCATAGCAGTTAGTACAAAAATTATAATTGGAGGAATCAAGCGTGAGCTATTATTTTGCTTATATTCCACTATAGAAGAAGCTGATCTCTTTAGAGAATCCACGGTTAAAAGTGAGTCTAACTAGGCGGAGTCGAGTCATGGCCAGAGAGTTGCTTGAATTTGAATTTGTGACTTTAAAAACCACCATGTAAGTTACTTTGAAATATCAAAAGTTAGACCTTGTTTGAGCCCCGTTATTTGGTAAAAATAGATTTCAAAATAGTGATTTTTTTGAAAAATGTGTGGTTGAAAAGTGAGAAACGTTTTAGATTTATGTGTAAAATTACTTTATTAAGAGAATTTGAAGAAAAATGTATTATGAAAAAATGGGGCTCAAACAGCCATTATTTCGAAAATATATTTTTTTCTCTATTTTAATTTTAGTCACACGTTCTTCAACGAAACAATATTATATACAAATTCAAAATATTTTCTTATTTTTAACTACACGATCTCCATCAAAATGCTATTCCAAAAGGCATTAAAAAAAAA